ATGCGTTCCGTTTTGGGATCGTGGAGAGATGTTGCCTACCTGAATCTACTCTATCACACTTTACAGTCTCCCGCGGGAGTTCAGATCTACGATCCTTTGATTGTAGATCTCTCTCGTTGATTAGTTTTTCATAGCTTTCTAATCCTCTCATAACTTTCATTCTCTCAAACTCAAAACACTCGAAAGATCTTTACACTAGCTTTTAGCGTAGTGCATAGAGAACGTGGTGTGATCTTTTTGGGACTCTGAAACCAAGATGTCTGGCCTTGCAGATGACACACTTCTTCAACGGATCAAAGACTTCTGCTACCTCTCCTCCCAGTGTTGTTTGGGGTCCTTCTTCTCTGGCTCTCTTGGATCTGTTGTTGTTGGCAGCCAGTTGGTAGGCTCTCTTCTGTTGCGAGTTCCTCTGTTGACTTTGGCAGCCCATTTCTCCATTGTGAGTGGTAGCTGCTGTTGCTGCTGCTGTTGCTGCTGTTCCGGTCATGATGGTGCTGCTTTTGGCTGAGATAATGACTGTCGAGTGGCTGTCGAGTGGCTCTCCGGTGGTTGCCGGTGGTTGTTGTCATTGTCGATCGATCCAACCAACGGAATCCGAGTTTCGTTGTTGTCGAAAACAGAAAATGGCGACTAGGTAGCACATTTGCTCTGTAATATCTATAAATGGTACGTTAAGTATATTTGAATCTTTGCTGACGCATTTGCTGATGTCATAGGTTGATTAGCCAATCACATTACTGCCTTCTACCGCTTTTGGGCCACGTGGAGAACATTACTGGTAGCGGTACCACCGTACCGGTATGAACTCCATAGATCCAGCGATGCAGAGAACAACCTTGTAATGTAAATTGATTCTGAACCTTGATGAAGTCTCTTGCTTCAGCTAGCTAGGTGCTGCATGAAATCTTTGGCTTGGCTAGGGACACAGTAAGACGGAACAGCAGGGGAAAAGAGCTTCTATGGGCCCGGCGTCTAGTTCAGCAGGAATGACTTCAGTTGATTGTCTGGAACGCAGAATGCTGTTGGTGGCATGGGGTTTGCAAGAGCCCTATCTTAGGCTTTTGCTCTTGACACCACTCATGGTAGACAGCCATCGGCACCGTACTCGGTTGAAATGATTGACCGTTTGATTCGATTCAAATCATTCTTTGAAGCAAAGTGCACGCCTCCCTACATGTGTTGTGGGGGCAATGGACTCTAAAATTGGCATCTTCCACCTGGTGGGTATCAGCGTATCAGCGAGACAAAGATTACTAGCTAGCTACCGGTAGGCTGCTCCAAAGAATGGCGCCGACTGACTCGCATATTCTATTCGTCATGGAGATGGCTAGCTATTAATATAATATCAAAGAAAGAAAGAAAGTAGAAACTGAATTTATGCTACTACTGTCATGGTAAGAGTAGTAAGAATTGCTGGCATTGTTTTCGGTTGGGAAGCGTCCGTGTTTCCGTTCCGTTCGATCAAGAAAGACAGTATCATGAAGAAACGCACCGTGTCGTTCTGTGATGTGATTTAGAAAACCACCGTGTCGAGCATGGTTCCCAGGCATTGGATGATGTTGGCACTCATGAGATCAGCGACACTTGTTTCCAAATGACGCTTGGGATCCACTTTTCCAACATTGTCGACGAGTACCTGCTCTGTGGTCTTTCCCTCTTCTTGTTGGACGCGTTCATTGTAGTTTTTGGTCAATTTGAGCATTTTGTCGACGACCTCTTCCGTCTTTTTTTGGTGGTCCTCGAAGCGTTCCACCGTCAACCCGTTGGTCCAGTTTCGCTTGTGCAGGTTCATGAGCATTTGTTCTTCCAGTTCATTCTTTCGGTAATCAATGACGATGGAATAGTAGTGTCGGTTGAGACCATGAATCAGCGCCTGAATACTTGGTTTTTGCAAGTGCCCAATGTTGGAAGTGGTTTGCCTGGGTTCTTGTCCCAACATCATGAGCTGTGGATTGATGAGGCGAAAGCAGTCGATGACCACCTTTCCCTTGACGGACTGGATGGGGTCCACCACAAGCGCGACGGCACGAGCATTGAGTGCTTCGAACGATGACTGGGTGTTGATGTCTGTGCTACTGAGCCAGCATCCGAATCCAGGATGGGAGTGGTACCAGCCGACGACCATTTCCGGACGACCCGTTTGTTTCAACATGTCCAACATGCGAGTTTGGAAGACGGGGTCCACCGCTTCGACACTCACAGAGGTACCCGACTGTGGCATGGCAAAGACATCGACGCAGTTGATCGTGTAGTCGTCGACAAACTGTCCCAGCATCAAGCCCATGACTTCCATGGGGACACCCGCCCGTCCATGCTTCAACATTTTCAACAGTGCCAGAGACGACACATGGACTTTCTCGGCACAATCCGGTGTAGGAGAGTCAGCACCGGCTCCTCCCATGCCTCCGGCACCAGGCATGCCCCGCATCAACTGTTGAAGGCGCTCCATGGTTGTTATCTAGCTAGCTATCGAGTAGATCTTGCTTCTCTTGCCGTTCTTTTGGTTGTGTTATCTTTGTTGCTGATTGATTGCTCGTTGCAGCCTTCGAAGCTCTGCGACGTCCAAGGATCTTTTAGTCATGAACATGAAGTCACATCGAGTCACAATTATGAATATAGTTTCATCAGCGTTCTCTCAAGAGAATCTTCTTCTGGCCGTCAACCGGTGTCAGGCATTGAGTGGTTTTCAGCCACTTAGCAATCCGCGTGTAACGTGCGTTGCCTCTCACTTGGTTTCCTCTGAAAGCTATCAAGCCAGAACATCGCACAGACAGATTGCTGATAGGCCACTTTACTACCTTACTGGAATTTCATTTGACGGCTACTACTAACTAACGAACAGCAGCAAGATGGTGAGTCGATGCGTGCCGTGCCTGTCTTGGCTTGATGGCTTGATGTAGTTGTTGGATTGGAATGCTTAGAGGGAGGCTGAGAAAAGGGGTATCTTTTCTTGGTCTGATGTTCTGATATCGGATCAAGACAGCAAGATCTAGCGGCCACAGACATTTTCATTTTGATCGTGAATCTGATTGATGATTGGATGAATCTTTCAGCTGTTAGAGGAACCCGATGGCGAGGACACTATCAAATTGGTATTACCCGCAATGTCTCATGATGTGTTTCCTTTGAATAATGTGATTTTCTAGGTGAACTTTACCGTGGAACAAATGCGGTCCATTATGGACTTGAAGCACAACATCCGTTCGATGTCTGTGATCGCTCACGTCGATCACGGAAAGACAACATTGACGGATTCCTTGGTGCAAAAGGCTGGAATTATCTCTGCCAAGGCGGCTGGTGGTGCTCGTTACACCGATACCCGTGCCGATGAGGCCGAGCGTGGAATTACCATCAAGTCCACCGGTATTTCCATGTTTTTCGAGTACGATGTGAAAGCTGGTGAGGTTGCCGGGCTTTCCGCGGTGGATGAAGCTGCTCTGGCACAAGAGTTGAAGGATAAACAGGATGATCAAGCCAACGTCCAGATTAGCGAGAACTCGTACTTGATCAATCTTATTGATTCACCTGGTCACGTTGATTTCTCTTCGGAGGTTACCGCTGCTTTGCGTGTCACTGATGGTGCTCTCGTCGTTGTCGATACCATTGATGGAGTCTGTGTCCAGACCGAAACCGTCCTTCGTCAGGCTATTTCCGAGGCTGTCATCCCTGTTCTCATGGTTAACAAGGTCGATCGTGCTTTGCTCGAATTGCAGTTGCCTGCCGAAGAATTGTACCAAGCTTTCTGCAGAGCCATCGAGTCCGTCAACGTGATTGTTGCTACATACAACGACGAAAAGCTTGGTGATTTGCAGGTCCACCCAACCAAGGGTACTGTTGCCTTTGGATCCGGTCTTCACCAATGGGCATTCACCTTGAAGCGATTCGCCAAGGACTACGGTGCCAAGTTCGGTGTCCCAGAGGAAAAAATGATGCACAAATTGTGGGGTGACTGGTACTTTGATGCCTCCCGTAAGGTCTGGACCACCGCTGACAAGAATGGTTCCCTCGAACGTGCTTTTTGCCAATTTATCATGACCCCCGTCACCACTCTTTTCGAAGCCATCATGGCCGAAAAACACGGAAAGGTCAAGAAGATGTTGAAGGCCATCAAGGTCGAGCTCAAGGGAGAAGAAAAGGAACTCGTTGGAAAGCCTCTTCTCAAGCGTGTCATGCAAAAGTGGTTGCCTGCTGGTGACACTGTGTTGGAGATGATTGTGCTCCACCTTCCTTCCCCCGCCAAGGCACAATCCTACCGTGTCGACAGTCTCTACGATGGTCCTCTCGATGACAAGACCGCCACTGCCATTCGTACCTGCGATACCTCTCCTGGCGCTCCTCTTTGTATGTACATTTCAAAGATGGTCCCCACGTCTGATAAGGGACGTTTCTACGCCTTTGGACGTGTCTTCTCTGGAACGATCGCCACTGGACAAAAGGTCCGAATCATGGGTCCCAACTTTGTGCCTGGAAAGAAGAGCGAGCTTTGGATCAAGAACATTCAGCGTACTGTTATCATGATGGGACGTTACACCGAACAGGTCGCCGATGTCCCCGCCGGAAACACATGCGCCCTTGTCGGTGTTGATCAGTACTTGCTAAAGTCTGGAACTATCGCCACCGAAGAGGATGCTTGCTGTATCAAGACCATGAAGTTCTCCGTCTCTCCAGTTGTGCGTTGTGCTGTCGAGCCAAAGAACTCTGCAGATCTTCCCAAGCTTGTGGAAGGTATGAAGCGTTTGGCCAAGTCCGATCCAATGGTTTTGTGTTACACCGAAGAGTCCGGTGAACACATTATTGCTGCATCCGGAGAGTTGCATCTTGAGATTTGTTTGCAGGATTTGCAGAATGATTTCATGGGAACCGAGGTTAAGGTTTCTGATCCCGTTGTCTCTTTCCGCGAGACCTGTACCGCAAAGTCCAGCGAGACTTGTTTGGCTAAGTCCGCCAACAAGCACAATCGTCTCTTTGTGGAAGCTGAAGGTATGGGACCGGAACTTTGTACGGCTATTGATGATGGTATTGTGAAGGCGGGAGCAGACAACAAGCTCCAAGGACGTCTTCTTGCTGACGATTTCGGTTGGGATGTCACCGAGGCCCGTAAGATCTGGGCTTTCGGACCTGACGGAACTGGCCCCAATCTTTTCGTCGATACCACAAAGGGAGTCAACTACTTGCTCGAAATTAAGGAGTCGGTGGTCGGTGGATTCGCCTGGGCTGCACAGAGTGGTCCACTTTGCGAGGAACAAATGCGTGGATGCCGTTTCAACTTGATGGATGTTGTTCTCCACGCTGATGCTATCCACCGTGGTATGGGACAAATCATGCCTACTTCCCGCCGTGTTTGCTTCTCGTCGATGATGCTTGCCGAGCCTTTGCTCCTCGAACCCGTCTACTTGTGTAATATTTCCGTTCCACAAGATGCTATGGGTAACGTCTACGGTGTGCTCACCCGCCGTCGTGGTCACGTGTTCACTGAAGAGCAAAAGCCGGGAACTCCCCAGATGACATTGCTGGCATACTTGCCCGTCATGGAGTCTTTCGGTTTCACCGCCGACTTGCGTTCACATACCGGAGGAAAGGCATTCCCACAGTGCTCGTTCGATCACTGGGAACCCATGTCTGGATCCCCCTTCGATGCCGGCACCAAGACCAATGAGACTGTCCTTGCGGTTCGAAAACGTAAGGGTCTTGCTGAAGGTGTTCCCGAGCAAAAGAAGTACCTCGACAAGCTTTAAACATGCCCTGCATAAAACGAAAGAGAAAATGGGGGCTGCTTTATGGCTCGTATCGCGTATAATGAAATAAAGATAGTATTGAACGAAATAAAAGATAGTATTTAAAAAATGTGCCCGAATCAAACTTATTAGATTTTGGGTTGAAATCCTTTCTAGTCTTCGATTAGTTGTGTTGCTCTAGCCAGTCCATAATGGTGGCAGAACTTGTTTGATTTGGTCCAACCAATGCGCCGGGAGGTGGCTTCAAGAGTTGATCCTGGAGTGGGTCCTGGTTTTGGTCCAGGTGTGGTTCCAAGAATCCCAGAGTGGTCCTGGTGTTGGTCCAAGTGTGGGACCAGGGGTGGGGCCTGGAGTAGGTCCAGGGGTAGGCCCAGGGGTAGGCCCTGCTGGAGTTGGTCAGAGTTTCGGCCTGGGAGCGGGTCCAGGTGTGGGTCCTGGAGTGCCTCCTGATGTTGGGCTTGGATTGTCCAGATTGCATCACCCTGTTAGTTCAGGTTGTGGGACCAGGAGTTGGACCATGGGTATGCCCTAGAGTTAGCATTATTTGTCCAGCGAGTGGGTCCAGGTGTTGGTCCTGGAATTGATCTACAGAGTGGGTCCTGGTGTTGGTGTCCCAGTAGAAGTACCGGTAGGTTTGAGCTCGGTGTATTAGTTCATGTATTAGATCCTTTGGAAAAGGAAGGAAGAACGAAAAAAGCTCAACGTCTATGAATGGATTCAGAATGTGTTAGATCCTTTGGAGTTGGACAGGCTACGCACATGTCAAGGTGCTTCGTCCAAGCCAAAGTACTCCAGTACATTATTTGCCCTTGCACAGGTCCCCAGTCCCCAGTTCCCAGTTTGTCCTCCCTGACCCCACCGAACCCAGCCCCGAACCTTGCCTTGCCTTACCTTCTCTTCTCTTTTAAAAAGCCTGGCCCCACACCTTTCATATTCTGGCAATAAATCCAACTCTGGCTACAGGCCCGTACCCAACACTCCAAACAGAGACGCTGTAACATTAAACATGCAGCTAGCTAGCACTACTAGTAGCTAGACTAGACTACTGTACTAGCTAGCTACTAGACTAGTACAGTAATATACATCTTACCGAATCTCGATGTTTTGGAGACGCACATTTATTCGGAAGGAAGTTCAAGGTGTCCGTGACGTCTCGCCGTGGAGGGTGACGTTTCACAGCGCACTTTGGGTTTGGAAAGTCTGGAGCTCGCTCGAGGCGTCTCTCGCCTCCTTGTGCAAATGAGAGACGAGGGCGCCGCAGTTGCGCACTTCATCACAGCAAGCTTCATTTGTTCAATAGACAGCGGTGACCATGGCGTCGGAACAAGGAGGAGCCGGGGACGTCAATCCTACCCCGATGTTTCAGATGTCAAATGCGGTAGGTTTTGTTAGATTCATTCTGGTTGGTTCAACATCACATGTTTCGGCTTGTTCGCTCATCCTTGTTGTTGTTCGTGGTAAATCAGACTGGCAACGCTGCCTTGGACTTCAATGTGGATTTGGACGATATTTTCAGTGAGTGCTATTATCTCGATCTTCCAGGGGGGCAGCAGCCAGCGGCAGCCCCTTTGGCCGGTACCCCACTAGTACCAGTGCCAAGTATTCCAGCCGCAGCAGCAGCCCCAGTACCGGTACTAGCTCCACCACCTGTTGCCGCCCCAGCTCCTGCCAAGCGATCGGCTGCAGAGGCGGGTCTCCCAACAGAAGCAAAGCCCGCACCAGTTCCTGCCAAAGCCAAGTCTTCTGTTTCCGGTGATGGTAACGGTAATAATGGTGGCGTAGAAGAACTCACGGAGCAACAAAAGCTGGAGCGGCGAGAAAGGAACCGCGAACATGCGAAAAGAAGTCGGCTGCGTAAGAAATTCCTCTTGGAAAGTCTACAAGAACAGATCCACGCCCTTCAGGAACAACTAGAATCCTTCAAGGTAGTTGTGAAGGAATATGCTCCGGGCAAGGCGGAAGATATCATCACTCGAATCTGCGGGAACAAGGAGAAGTATACCCCCCTACCTACACCCAGTGGCTTTGGCCCTGTCAAAACACTGATGGAGCCTGATTTTAGACTCATGTCAGCATTATCGGGATCACAGCAAAATTTTGCCATTTCGGATCCGACGCTTCCAGATAATCCTATTGTTTACGTGTCACAGGGTTTTTTGGAGTTGACTGGCTACACCCTGGACCAGGTTTTGGGCCGAAACTGCCGATTCCTTCAAGGTCCTGGCACGGACCAAAGCGCCGTGGAGGTTATTCGAAAGGGTATAAAAGAAGGTGTGGATACCTCGGTGTGTCTGCTCAACTACAAGGCAGATGGTACACCCTTTTGGAATCAATTCTTTGTGGCCGCGCTCCGTGACGCAGAGAACAATGTTGTGAATTTTGTTGGTGTGCAATGTGAAGTATCCAAAGCGGTGGTTGAGAAGCACATGGGGGATGGTAAGAAAAAGTAATCTGCGTGAGGTTTGTGGGTGTGAGAAAATCATGCATGTACATACGGTTGTAGCGACTTCCAAGTTCATTAATGTAACTACTGTAGTATCCCTCCTATTTTACTTTAAAATGTATGCCGCGTCCACCGTTGTGTGCTTGATTGTTTTCTCTGCTCATCTTCAGTAATGGGGAGACCCTGCAAATGCAAACACTCTCTGCTTTCTGCTATTAATCGCATTACAGTACTATGCGTAGTAGCTACTTGATTCTGTTCTCTCGCTTCGGTTGGGTAGAGATGTCAGGCTACTGTACTTGTGGCTCTACTAGCTATAGTAGCGCTCACTCTGGACTCTTGAATTGTACTGATGAGAGGAATGAATACGTGGAGGTGGTAAACAACTGGTACCGTACAAGCACGTGTAAACTAAACTAGCTAGTGGAACCACCAATCTGAAACAAAATTATTATTTTGAATTTTGGCCATCGACCGACCGAATCCGTCGTTGTGCCATCTGCATCCAACACGAAAAGGACACTCAGATTGAGGATAACACAACAACAATGGATACTTTGGGCGACTCTTTTGGGCGTTTGTCAACTGACGCCCAAGAGTTTGTTCCTGGCAGTAGATTTGGCCAGAATCAGCAACAGCCAACGGACTTCTCTGCGTCTCAACAATCTCATGCAGCAAGATACCAGGCTCAATCCGGATTGAATGCCACTGGCGTCAAGGAATTTGTCCCTGGCAAAGCTTGGAGCAGTGGGATTCAGAACGAGCCATCCTTTGATGGCAGCGTATCATCTAGCCATCAGAATCAACAAGCTGGAGGGTCAACTGGATTCCACAGCAACAATGCAAACTCTTTCAAGTCTGAGGCCGAGAACGTGCGATTGAGCCACCAGGGCATTGCCACAGTCCCCGCTGCACCTACTCCTCCTCCACTACCGTCCTTTCGAGCGCTGCACTCGATGACATTATCAGACACTCTCTGGCTTTACTATCGTGACCTAGCACTCGAAGCACACCGACAAATGGAACCAGGCGATCCGCGGTAAGACGAAGAGGGTGACGCATACAACCGTTTCCTTATCTCGTTGGCTCACCACCTCGTTTCCTCTCATGACTACCCCCTCTCAAACAAATAAAGCCACAATGCAGTTCCGCTGCCATATGGGAATGCTTACTGTCTATCTGAAAACAAAGGATCTTCACGATCCTCGTTTGGTTACCCCTCCGACACTTTCCAAGCAACTTCGAGAGAGGATGGAAATCTCTATTGTGTGAGAAGATTCGACAATGTGCGTTGTGTGTCGCCTAGAATCGCAATTACGGTCATGGAAAAATGGAACAGTGTGCCTTCCGTTCAAGAACACCCAGGCGTTGTACCCTTTTATCGATGTTTTGTGGCACAACGTGCAGTTTTCTTTGTCCACCAATATATTCCTGGTGCTAGAACGCTGCGAGAGCGTCTAGAAGGGCCACTGCTGGAAACTGTGGCCTGGAGTGCTATTGTGCAGCTGATTTCGGCAGTCCGGGCTGTTCACACGAATAACATGGCAGTTAGAGCGTTGCAGCTGAACCACATTTTATCCAACACAGATGCCACTGGAAGCAGACTCCGTCTTCGACTGAACTGCTTGGGGGTGTTGGATGCCTTGGAGTTTGAAGCACGGTACGAGAAGGAGTTATGATTTCGAGAAGGCTAAGCCGCCTGATGCGCCGTCTAACCATTCCCTCTCTTGTGTATGCACGGTAGGAAAACTGCTGTGGAACTGCAAGGCCAAGATATTCGTGATCTTGGGAGAATCATTCTTTCGATCACTACAGGGTCTGAGGTCAATCAAACCACAGATAATGAACAATTCGCACGCTGTGAAGCCTTTCTAGCGCAAAACTACTCGAGGGACCTGCATGGGTTGACCATGACTTTGATCAAGAGTGCCAGGCCACCCTCAATTTTGGAAGTTAGTCGGGCAGTTGCACAAAGGGCGCTGGATGAGCAAGATGCAGCCTATGTCACTTTAGACAAGACAGAAACTGCTCTGTCATCCGAATATGAGTCGGGGAGGGCTATTCGGCTCATGCTGAAGCTCGCTTTTGTGAACGAAAGGCCTGAGTTTGGGCCGAACCGCCGATGGTCACAGTCCGGAGATTGCTATGTTTTGTCCTTGTTTCGTGATTTTGGTACGTTAGATCGCTGACTTTTGCAGCTTATTGGTGTTTTCCTACCGTTGTCCTTGCTGCGCATAACCTTATTCCTCCTCCCCGTCAAGTGTTTCATCAAGCAGATGGAAACGGGAATCCTGTCATGGATCTTGGGCATGTTACTACTGCCCTGAACAAGCTCGATACTCAGGATGAGGAAAAAATTGCGCTTTCATCCCGGGATGGGAAGAGTCTGATGGTGGTTAGCTATGCGGATGTTGCCAGATGCTTGGATAGCGCCTACAGCGAACTTTGCCAGGGTGCAGTGCGAGCGTCTTCGCTGCTCTACTAATACTAGTAGGTAGCAGCCACCAGCGAAGCTCATGTCAGGATATCTTATTGGACTCATGACAGGGTTTGTAGGTTTTCCGCGAAATTTCTGTTTTGAACCTCGTTCCGCTTTTTTGGCACCAAGCAGAGGGTACACTATAGCTCACGTTCATCTAACCTACTATAAAATTGAAGTTTACGAACTCTTTCCTACATTTCTACATCCACTCGAAGCTTCGGTTGCACTCGTAACAGTGGCGGCCTAACCCCTCCGAACTGAGATATCACCTGAGGGTCGTCTGCATCGTTGTGAACACCAAAGGTCAAACTATTGCCTCCCAGTTGGTATCCTGCAAAGCCCTGGAGACTACCGAATCCATCCGGCCTCAACATGGCAACAACATCCAATCCAAAGCTAATCGCTCTCTCAGTTGGTTTCTTGTTTTTGGATACAACCTTCTTGACCTGTTTCGCTCGTTTCAGCTTAGCAGGGGCACTGTCTGGGAAGGACATTACCTCATCATTTAGCTTGGCTGTCATGTCCCGGACAGCTTTTTCCTTTGATAAACCCAACGAAGGGACTTCCAAATCATCCATGGAAGACTCAAACGTAAAAATGGCCGCACGAAGTGCAGCAGCATTGTTGTCCATGGCTTCCTTTGCATCACCCACGTCGTTGTTGTGCACGTTCTTCAGAAGAGTGGCCCTCAGTTTCTTCACAGTTTGCTTTTCAAGATTTGTCAACTGTGCTTGGTAAACTTCAGTGATGGTGCCGTCTACCAGACTCTGCAGTTGCTTTCTCATTGTCGCACGGTAAGATGCCACTGTTGGCAATCCAGCTGCTGCAAGTGTCTCAGCTTCAAAGGAGGACAATGCCTTTTGCCTCAAATCGGAAGCCTCCGCACCAAAGTTGTCCACTAGCAATCCACGGGCAGCACGACTTCTCCAGGCAGCAAACTTGACCCTCGCAGATCTTGCTTGTTGGGAGTGAGCTTCACCTACAGCAACAAGAGCACTAGCAGCTTGTGGTGGATCCAGCACTTCCGAAGTAATCTGAGATGCATCGATCTTGCTACTTGCTTCTTGAAGTGATTCTCGCAAGGCTGCACTAGGCCTATCTGTTGATTGTGCGGCTTCTTTGGCCGTGGATTTGAGCTGAAAAGCAAAAACGGTGAGTTGTGGACCTTTTAGAAACCTCAGAATCCTGAAAAGTTCTTACATCAGATCCAGCGAAAACAAGCTTCAAATCGTATGCATCATCAAATGAAATAGATTCTTTGGCCTCCGCAACTGATGCAAGAAACAGAATGTTCAAATCTCCCTTCATTTCTTTCTCCAGAGATGCAGAACCTTCCCCATTGACAGAGAGCAAAAGGGACTGTTTGCCACCATCAGAACCCAATAGAGCTCTGGCACGGAAGAGAGCCGATAAAGTGACAGCATGGCGAGAGTTCAACAAGCCAGCTTCTACATCGCCTTCCGTAATTCCGTCAACAACGATAGCAGAGGCCGTCAAAGAGCAAAGCGAGATGGAGACGCACTCAGGATCCGATGGTTGGATGGACAAAGTGGGGCCCCGACAAGACAAGCACGGAGGGTCACTTGAGTCGAGACTCAGAAGATCATCGCCAGAAGGGGATGACAGTGATGATGGCAAATCAGGATTGGATATCACGGCCAAGAGTGACTCGGAAGTCAGAGACTGTGGTACTGCGCTGATTTTCAAATTTCCAGATCCGTCCATGAGGCTAGCAGCTTGAGCTGCAGTTGCCATGGAGGCCAGGAAGACAACCAACAAAGCGTTCATCTTGGCTTGTGCAAAGTTCTTCACACCACAAGTCAAAATCTCAATCAAATGCTACCAGGTACCGTTACGTGGAAGAGCTCTTCACATTGTGGCAAAGCGACGGCATCGGCCATCAAGATACCCGGTTGATGTGTGGGAGCTCGGGGTTGTCAGCATTTCAGCATCGTTCCAGGTGGAGCAGGCGAAAAAGCTCCAACCAACAAAAAGCTCATAACCATAACATTCCAGCAGAGCTGTATTTAGAAAAGGGACCTACCCGATACCGTACGTGTACCTGGTACCGGTACTGTGCGTACGCCAGGAGTGGTGGAAGCACAATGCCATGGACCATTCTTCACTGCGACCAGCCGCAGAGACCCTGAGTCGAGCCCAATACTACACAAATAGCTGCGAGAGTAGCTAGCTACTATGCATACATCGTAGTGGTTGCTTTCTGGAACCGCAGCTAACCCTACAAAATTATATTCTCACACTTCCCGCGATGGTAAGGCCATGGACAAAGCCGAGCATCAAACACCAATCTGAAGATATCAGCGAAGCACACTTTGCTCACAGTGCCGCTAGCTAGCTCCAGTCATTGCTGTCTGTGCCAACGCTATGACTGGACTAAATACTAAATCTGCACGATTGCTACCGGTATCATATACTCGCTCGGAAGAAGCGATGATTTTGCAGCTGCTTACTTTTTATGCACATCTCTTACGAAAGCTCTCCTGCCAAGCCTTTCCATACAAAATATGTAATCAAGAGGAACGCACCAAAGTTGAGAATATCCAATATCAATGAATCAAAGCGTCGTTCCAGCTCTTCATCCAACCGACCCAGACGTCTCCCAGACCTTCGTTTTCCTTCTGCCAGAGGGAAATCAGCTGAATGTAGAGGCATGCCAAAGTCTTTGCACCACATGGCGTGGGCTCGATAGGCAAATGTCTTGAGATTGCCCTTTCCATTCCACTCGGTACTAATTCGTGTCTGCAAGACATTCTGTGCAGCATCCGTTTCCCCGTCCTTGTCGAGACCCAACAGATCGTTGGGTGTTAAACAAATTAAACCAATATGACACTTGGCGTCTCGTGAAATCTTTCTTCTATCTCGGGCGCCAAAGTTGATTGCATTTAAACAAGCGTCCAGTCCTGGGGCAGCTCGCTTGTGATTGGCCACGCCAATGGTAATTCCATGAAAGACTGAGCGTAATCGAGAGTGAGAAGCCATGTGTCTTGCGAGGTTTTCTGCAAGAGCTGTTTCGCTCTCAAAATGTTGTTGTTGCTTTTCGTGTTTTTGTTGCATTTCAATCGGTGATGTGCTTTGGTCCTTGCCATCATCATTGTCATCATCGTCGTCTTGAAAAGGATTTGTTCGTTCTACTACGAGATACAGTCGAGTTCTTCGATTTTCTGTCAAAGAGCTTAGGGATGAACTGGTGACACTATCGTGTTCTCGACCAGCAAAATCAGATTCCTTTTCCTGGTCTCCCGTGGGAGTTCGACAGCCGTTGGTTGGAGTGGTTGTGCCGTCCCCACTCCGAGCTTTCTTCTTTTCTTCTTCGGAAGGGGCAATCACGGTGTGAGATTGCACAGCTTCTACCGCGGGAAGGATGTGCTCAGAAGCAAATGCTTCAGCAGATTTGGTCATGTCGGGTCGCCATAGGATGTAAAAGATGAGAAAGGGTGGGAAGGAATCTGTGCCATTTTTGAATTCTTCCAGCACAGCCGAGGTATCCACATCGCTGTCGTCGTTGGAGGATGATGGGATAGTAAAGTCATCTTGGAGATCTGATACAAAGCGTATCGAGTGCGCGTTCAGATGAAATTCGCTGAGCATGAAAAACCGTTCGGTTGAGAAGGAAGGCAAATCTTCTCGGCTAATCATGGTCACGGAGAGTTGCTCTGGGAATTGGCTGTCCAAGCTATCCATGCTGTTCTTTGGACGAAGCATGCACGATGAGGAACCTGAACGTCTCATTGTCTTGGTGTTGCAATTTATGAATGGTGTGTTTGTGTTGCCAAGAATAGCAAACCATAAACTCTCTAGCTGGCGAGTTGGATGCAAGCGTGCGACTTTGAAGAGGCTCTTTATTGAAGTGTATGCAGCTGAGCTTGCTATCTACGGCTGTACTGGTAGCTCTCTAGCTAGCTAGTAGAGCCAGCTAGCTAGCTTGTTCTAATTGTTGGTTTTCCTCTCTCGTTTGCCTTGGGTGCATGGGAAACAGCTCATCGCTGAGGCCGATTGACCGACGTGGCCAGGTTACACATTCACCTCAATATTTAGATTGTACGCGTACTGTACCGGTATGTTATTTAGGCCGCTCTCTACCGGAGCGACTAAAGTGGCGACTAAGCCATATTTCATAGTTTAGTCGATAGTTTAGTCTCTGGAGGTGGTGTCTACCCAAGCGACTAAACGTTGTATGGACTAAAGGCTTTAGTCAAAACGTTCGTTCACCGACTAACGGGAGGCTGGTTAGTCGGTGAGCGAGCGTAAGGACTAAAGCTTGTTTAAGAACTCTTTTAAAAGAACAGCAAATCCAACAGGAAACAAAACCTCCCATTTATAATCGCGACAGAGCTGATAGAGTAGAAGAACTCTTTAAGAATGAATCAGCCTCATTGCACAGCCTCACTATCAGAGCATTGCGACAGAGCTGATAGAGTAGAGGTGCAAACGATACCGTAGTCGAACGATCGAAGAGGAGTATCGGCCAATAGAGTAGAAGAACTCTTTAAGAATGAATCAGCCTCATTGCACAGCCTCACTATCAGAGCATCGCGACAGAGCTGATAGAGTAGAGGTGCAAACGATACCATAGTCGAACGATCAAAGAGGAGAATCGGCCGATACCGTAGTAGAGGTGCAAACGATTGAACGCGAACGAGTGGGAGTTTTGAGTCTTGTTAACTTGAGTCTTGTTAACTTCAAAAGTAATCATCAATTCGGTTAAGTCTTTGTTTGAGTCCTTTAAATCCACCATGCTGATAGAATATTGGTAGCCCACCAAGTGATCACTTTTGTTAAATCTTTTTTGAGTCCTTTAAGTCCAGTACTGTTCCCATGAATTGTTTAGTCAATTTGTTTAGTCGGCTGGGTAGACAGGTCCAAATGACTAAAGAACTGACTAAATTGTTTAGTCCGAGATTTAGTCATCTGCTGGTAGACACCACCATTACTAAAGGATAGTGACTAAATCTTGAACTAAACAACCACCTAAAGGATTCCTTTAGTCGGTCCCTTAGTCGCTCCGGTAGAGACCGGCCTTATCATTCTTCTGTTTGTGCCCCTTACGGCTGACAAACTGAAGTTCTTCCATACTGGCCTCTTCTCCAACATGCTGATCTCCTCATGTCACGCAGTGTTACCCAAGTCAATTGTTTCCAAAATCCATGTTGGTTGTGTCTTCCCTGATGGTCGCTCGAGCCAATTTTACAATACACCTGATCCACAAACTGCATGGATGCATGGATTGAGGAAAAGTCAAAACAATGCCAACCAGGTGATTTGCAACATCTCAACAACATTTATTTTGAGCTCCCATTTTTGATTGATCATTCAACAGTTTATAGTTGGTAGGGTACCGGTATTGCCTTCAAGTAGGCACCTTTCCCTTGATCTCGATCTCAAGGCCAGTCGGAGTTTGAAATCCCAGGCAGCTCATCCTATCCTGTCATTGATATTTGTGTCCCCAGTTCCTGTTTTTGTTTCCAAGGCAGCTCCAGAACGAGTGGTTCTGGATTTAGGTCCAATATTGGTCTTACATGTACTGTGTCATAAGGGATGGTTTGGTGAGCTTTTGGTGTTGGTATGCCGGTGCTACATGTAGCTCTAGCCAGATGTTTGTTCTGGAAGTTGCTCGAAGTTTAGGCCCATCACTTGGAGTGGGTCTGAGTTTTGCCCCTTGAGTTGGCCAGGTATACATACCGGTACATCATGGAGTACCGGTACTGGTACCGGTACTAGTATGGCAGGGCATCGGTGATTTTACTGAGAGTTGGTCCAAGTGATGGGATTCTAATTAGATGATTAGATCCAGTGTTGGGCCAGTCCATGGACGGAGGGATTCTCATTCGATTCTTAACTAAAAGGCTCTATCAAAATGCATTAGGGATAAGGAATTTAATGCTTTCGTCTGTGTTCGCCTTGGCTCGACTGAGGACTCGACTCGACTCGACTCGACACTCGATCCAGCCAGCGCCCGGTCCGAGACGAACAGCAGCAACAAGAAAAGGTTGGATCTTCCTTGGCCAAACGCATTGTTTGAGTGGTGTCTCGTATCTATTTTATAAGAGGAAAGACTGCTAGTATGCATTAGACAAGGGGCGTCTTGCTAACGATTATGTCCTCCTCGAGGAACAAGAGGAAAAGGACCGACGCCGAGATTTCGGCCATGGTGGCGGCACCGAACCCTGCGGCGACACGCAAGAGAACGGCATTGGGTGATGAGCCCACAGCAGCAGGAGATGTGCCAACTAAGGATGGGGAATTCATCAACAACAATAACAGCAGCAGCTCGACGTCCAACAACAATGCTGCAGCTTCACCGTCGACTGTCGCTGCTACTTTGTCCAATACAAACAACAGCAGCAGCAACAGCAGTCTAGGCATTGGGGAATCTAGTGGTGCTGCTGCGAATGTTTCAGCACAGCCAGCATTGGACACTCAAGCAGCCTCAAATGCGCCCAGTCCAATACCAGCGACCCAAGCGGCGCCGCCGAACTCAACAGGGGAAAGTTCTCAAAAGGAACAACAACAACAACAACAACAGGAAAACGAGGCACAGAAAGAGGCTCTTGCGGGTGGCGCCATGCCTCAAACAGGAAATCCTGCCAGCAATGACGCTGCCACTGCAAGCAACGGTCAAATGGCACAGCAGCCACAACAAAGCGTAGAATACATCATCAAGCGAGAAAATCGAATAAAGTCAATGATCACACACCGCAAGTTACTTCTGGAAAGAACTCGAAGCAGTCGGTCGGCTGTCCGAAATAGGATGCAAATTTTGGCCAGAAATGACACTCGATCAGGCAAAGTGGCTCATAACACTCCAAATTCCTCAGCTGCAATGGAGCCGCCAACAGGAAGCAATTCAGCTTCGGCAGCAGCAGCAGCAACAACAACGGTATCGAAACCTCTCGAAACTGCCAAGGATGAATCAGAGATTGCTGCCTTTAAGAGATTAGGTCGAATGGCAGTTCAGGCTGCCAAGAAACAACGAGTGGACGGAAATGATCCAAGTCAACCTGACAAGCGAACATCCGTCTCACTGCGGAGAGGAGCCAGTGTAGGAAAGAAAATGAATGCAGCATTGTCTTCACTCGCACCTGGTGGGGCTGGGGCTGCCGTCGTCGAAGATGGACTTCCTCCTACACAGCCGCTCCATGCGAATACCATTAGAGCAGATACGTTGCCAGCCCGTTCTGCTCAACCAGTGCCAACACCTGCTGTTGCACAAAACTTGATCCCCCCAACAACAATTACTTCCACAACATCCGCCCCCATTCCCAAACCTGTACAACATCAATCTGCTCTGCCAACAATACCACCAAAACCAAAAGCCCCCACACAGGTGCCTGTAACCATAAAGCAATCCACAAAGGTGCCAGTGGCCCCAGCAGCGGTCAATTCAATACCGAAAACAGCTAGAACATCCATCACTCAAAAAAGCGCAACCGCTATCCCAAGAGCGGATGTAGCAAGATCCACATCCGTCACGCAACACTCTGTTCCCGTAAAACCCTTACATGCTGCCAGTACAACACCGATTGGGATGCCCACCATTGAACGAAAACCTGTAACCTTTCCACAAGCTGCCGCCCTGCGAGAGCGACGGCGTGCTGTGTTGTCGCAATTGAAGAAATATTCCCAAAAGAGAAAGCTACAACAAACTACCGAGGATGCTACTAGGGGGCAACAGCAACCTCCCAAAACAGGACCTAGAACGTTCGAATCGTTCTTCACCAATGACATTGCACCTCGCAGCAGCGATTTTCCTCGAAGACGAAGGACCCACTGGGACAATATACTGCAAGAGATGCAATGGATGGCAACAGATTTCATAGAGGAGAGAAAATGGAAAACTGCAGCTGCTCGAACACTTGGAGCTTCAATTGCACAAGGGAAAGCTGAAAAAGGTACAAAGACAGCATCAATAACAGTTACCAAAGCAGTGGCTCCTTCACCAGTGTCAAATGGAAACGATAATGAGTCGTCTACCCCAAAGACAGCAAGTAAACCGCAGGTACCGGCAGCGGCGTCCCGTCCAAAATCCCAAGAGACTAAGAACCATTCAAAAGATGGGCCATATAGCACTCCTACGGACAAGGATACTATTTCATGTAAGGAAACGGCGCAAAATATTTCAAGTATGGCTGATGGATTGGGTGTTGCGATCTTGGGGGCTTGCTCACGGGCAAGAAGAAACCAACTTGGACGTCCGCAGACCACGGAAGAGGACGCCGCGGACGGGGGGAAAGAAGGATCGCGCACGGGCACTGATGGCGCTACTAGTAGGAATTCTGAAAGCAAAACTGGCTCCTATTCTCGTATAAACAAAGCCATCGAAGCTCTCCTGGGGAAAATTAAAAGGAGGAAGACAGCAGCCAGTGGCAAGTTTGAGAACAAAGGGAATCGTCTGGCTTTGACTCCTGAACAGCATGAAATAATTGGCTTCATCGAGGACAAATGGGCACATCGGGCTGGTGCAATCATATCGGGATCTAGGGCTTCGGGGAAAACTGTCGCGGTTTGCGCGTTACTGGCGAGGCGGAAAAGAAAAGGTCCCTTGTTGATCGTGTGCTCTTCCTTGCGAGTGGTACGTAGCGGCAGGGTAACTGGATTTCTTGTCCCTCTGCTGTTCTCTCATCGATTGTTTTTTCCTTGTTGCAGTTGAATTGGATTCACTCGTTGAATCGCTTCACTAATCTAAAGGTCAAGAGGTTGGACGCCTTTACTGGGTTGCCCACTGGAAACTTTGGGATGGATTTTTTGTTAGACACCAACGATATTGTTGTTTGCGACTACTCGGCTTATGAGAAACTCAATGGGGGTGAAATGGATCATTTTGATTCCATTGTTGTTGATTGTCGGTACCCGCGGGCGTTCTCCGGATCACGCTTGCCCTCAGCGCCTTCAGCATCACCATCGATGACAAAGACTGACCAGTCCAGCCAATCAACCGGAGAACCAGTTGGTCAACTGGGCAAGTCATTCTGGGATAGTTTGGTGACAACATCTGTCAAGACTTCATTACATTGCGTGCTCGTGGAAAATCCAGGGGCACCTGCTACCATATCTGGTTCAATCAACATGACGGAAATGCAACGTGTTGAACTGATTGCTCTTAGGATGGCCCTTTCTGTAGGCCCCCATATTTTTGCGTCATCGACAGCTTCAGTGCTCAAACGGATTTTAACATGGGCCAGGAGAAAAAGCCGAGAAAGCGCTGATTCGGCAAACGCAACAATCGACAAAATTAAGGAAGTGCAAACGCAACTGCTTGACGTCACCCAGGCATTCTGTCGCGAGAGCAAGTCGCTCCTGGAACAAATATCTTGGCCGCAAGGAGGCCCTGTTGACTCAGAAATCCGCCTCTGCGAACTATCCTCCGAAGAGAGGTCTGCATACGAAAAGTGTTGCGTGTCGCTGAGAGGTGCTCTTTCCACGGATATTGCCAAATGTCAACAAACTGAAGATACAAAGCGACAAATCCTGCAGGCCGCGGCGAAAGCGATGCTGCGACTACGGAGACAGTGTATTCATAGCGGGCTGTCAGGTCTTCTCAAGGCCAAGGCTATGCAAGCGAGGGTGGGTTCGTTCTTTTGTTTGAAACGAGAAAATGCGAGCTCGCGTAGGAAAGCCGAGGACAACCCTTCGCAAAAAGACATGGAACTGGCTTCTCTTATTTTGGATGGTTCCGCTAAGCTGAGAGGACTGGTTTCGCTTCTGCGAAACGAATGCGGCTACGAAATCAACGGCGCCGAGGAAGTTTCTTCGACGCCAAAACCAAATTCCCGAAACACATCGTATTCGCCAAGCAAAGTTGTCGTACTGGCGGTACTTCCGGAAATTCAGGTTCTGGTGTCTGTGTTGCTTAGTTGCATTGGGGTTGGGCACGAGCTCTTGATGTCGCCCTACTTGAATCCTTGCCAAGCATACGGAAACACAACAATAGCCCCCCCCGGAAAGCAAATGATTGCTGACACAGCAGCTTGGCTTGAATGCCAAGAGGTGGTCTCGCGTTTCAACTGCCCTCCCTCGTCGAGCAAACAATTGAACATCAACATTTTGGTGGCTTCGCCTGACATTTTTGCTGGAGATCACGGCGGAATTGGTGTAGACGTTTCTGACTTTATAATATCGGTTGACGATGACTGGAGCGGTCGGAACGAGCTGTTGATGCGATCCCTGATGGCGAGTCTGGTTCCGCGACAAAAAATCTTCAAGAAGCGACACTGCCGATTCCTCAGTTTGGTATGTGAGAGAACTTGCGAAGCATCCTTTCTGAAAGGTTCACCAAAAGTTACTGGTACGTCACGGTCTGACCCTGAGAGTTGGCCGTGGGGTTTGGACCCCCTGGGGCGCTTCCTACCCGACACGCCCTCAAGCAACGTCGATTGGCAGTCGTGGCCAGTTAGAGGCGAAGCCGAAGGAATTTTTGCTTTTCCCGCCCAGCACGTGCTCGATCATTGTAACCGAAACCTGGCAGAAGTTCTCGCTGTGGAGGGTTTGCCTCCTCATCTCAACCAAGGGTCTAGCATGTTTCTACCGCACAGTGCCGGTGACAGGGGCATTGGATCCGCCGAGATGGGCTTTCTCGTGCAAATGATGGCAGCCGAGGAAACTGCTAGGAAATATTTCAAGACAATAGCAGCCGTGCCTGCGAATCATGAAGCAGTGCATGTTGATGAAAAAGCGACGGCTTCGATTGTCAATAACGATTTGCTGGGAAATACTGCCAAGCCGAAAGAAGCCGTGGTCGCAGGCTCTCAAGAAGGAGTGTTCGAGGCGGCAATAGATTCCCCGACTTCCATCCCGGGTCATGACAATGTCGAGCGACCAGAATCTCCACAACAGAAGCGATCAAAGACTGGAGACACACAATCGGTTGGCTCGGCTGCCTGCCTGCTGCTCTACAAGTCGAGTCTTGGCCCTGCGTCCAGCGAGGCGGATCCTTTGGCATCAAGCTCGGCAAACGCAAATCAGTCGGTCTCCTACCATCCCAATCGTCATGCCAACGCCGTCAGCATGTTCCATACATCCAACTTGGATGATGGGAGAGAAGGTGCTGAAGCGCTTGTCTATGCGCCTCCTGTTCTGCCGGAGATGTTACAAATGTCAAATCAAGCGCAGCATGATCACGAGATAGACCTTGGTTGGTTTCCCAAGGAGCCAAAACGACCGGCCGAAGGCGCCGACGAGACCGAGTCGAAACGCTTCAAAGGTGCGGATTCTTTCTCTGGGAACTTTGATGTCGGAGATGCCGCCGCGGCATTGGACTCTGATATCCATGGCCCTCTCAATGACATTATGGATATGGATCTTGATGAAGACTTTGGTGATGTTGGTGATCTCGGAGATGTGCCTCTTCCCAACGATGAACACATTCCGACTCCTGCCCCCATTATTGTGCCGGACGACTCGTGCGAGGTAACCAATTTTTCACTGGATTCTGATCGGATTGTATTCCAAGCTGGGTTCGCAGAGTTCGAATCACCTTGTGACACCGAAGAACTCGAGATTCTTCGTACATCGACAGAGCAGCCATCTCTGGGTGCTGTCATGTTGGTTGTTGCTGGAAAAGGTCGCCAGCCTGCCTTGCCTACAACCGCTCCTTTGCATCGACTATCTTCGAGTCACCCCGAGACAGCTTGGGTGGGCGCTGCAACTACTGCCACTATGTTCCATGACTTGAACGGCTCTCGCGACTCTGTAAAGGCAGCAAAGCAAAAGACTGGGGCACAAGCGTATGCTTCAGCTCTTACCAAAGCGCCATTGGACGTTCCACCCTACGGAATGGCTCAGGCACCGTTGAATTATCAAGCAGCATCAAAAGCAAAGGATATGCACAGAAATAAAGTCTTCTCGTTTCTGTCGGGTAGGCAGAAGTCTATGGGGAAAAGCATTTTCGAGTCCCCTCAATACGGCCTTGCTGCTGTCCGATTCAAGAACCGTGTGAATGATCGAATGGTCCGTCAAAGCACTGCTTTGGAGTCTTCAATGAAGACAGACGATGCCCCAGATGCCGCTCTACTTGGCAACCCCGCCACTGCATCGACCAACTGGAATGTTACGGAGGAGAGCAAGCCAAGTGGAACAACAGAGCATTCTGCAGAATTTCTTGCCGGAAAACAGGTTGCCGCTCTCAGTCGCTCCATGCGTTCGCCTGTTGCAGTTGATTTTGGGCCATTCAACAGTGGGTTCTTGCGTTCGTCTTCTGCGGGCGTTACAGGATCATGGCCGCCGACGGTGCGAGATGGCGTCTCTTTGCCAATGGGTGTAAAGGTACCACAAAAGCCACTCCAGCAACGGCGTCTGTGGACGAGCGACGAAGACACGAAGCTCAAAGAGTGCGTGGAAAGATTTGGCACGAATTGGGCAATGACTGCGGAAGCATTGGAGGGGTTTGCCAGCTGCAGGAAAGACGAATACGACCCTGGTGAAGACGCTACCTTGGATGACAAACGTTTTAGGCGAACATCTCGTGACTGCAGTGAACGATGGCAAGAACTTTCACACCTGGATCCTCGGTTTGGAACATCTCAGAAACCGTCAACTCAAAATCTGTCGGGAAGTCCAGTTGCCGCTGCAGCAGCGATCCAGGTCGCCACGACGAAACCTCAACCATCCGGGGACCAACGCAAGAGGTCTCCCAGGGCGATTGGTCTACTCGGTCCGTCTACGGCTTCAGAGTTGACACTTGCAAAGCCGGACGAGGCAAAGGCCGATGACGAAGGTGATCTTGACGAGAACATTAAGAAAGCGTTTGTCACTTTCTCTGCTTCTGAGGCCAAGAAGCAGGTGGTTCCAGTAACGATTCCAGGCGCTACACCAGGCAGTCAGCCAACCTTCGTTGCATCGCATCCTTCCCATCTTGACGCTGTGCACTCTTCCATCGCAGCTACTTGGACCAGTGGCAGGACAGAAATGTGGCCGCTGCAGTTTTTGGATGTTGCAGAGAAGCAGAGGACAGCCCGTGCGGCTGCCGCAGCGGCTTCAACGTCGGCTTCTGCGCCGATTCGGCCTACTTCGCAGACAGTTAGCCCCATGGCTTCAGGTTCTTCCGTATCGTCCGATGCTCGAGGTCCTCCTCCTGGCCCCAGGACAGCTGCAAGACCTCATCCGATGCCTGCCCCGCACAGCGCACCCTATAGTTACCCGCACCAGCCAGGGCAACCTTATCCGCATTACCCTCCTCCCCCACGACATGGCAGAGCACCATACCCACCGCATGTGGCACCAGCTCCGGCTCGTAGTCCTCCCCAGAGAGTTGACCATCCACCACCAAATGCCAGCGCACCCCGAGGAGTGGTTCCACCGGTTCCTCCGCCCAAACCTGTCGCGCCTACAAGCTCAAACCACTCAGATAAGACTGTGCCGAAGCCTACTCCACATGAAAAAGTTTCACCAACGAACTCCAAATCCAAACCGACGCCTGCTACCCCCAGTTCCAGTAAAAACAGTGACAAGGTTACGAAACCTCCTCAGCCCTCACAACCGCCTGCAAAATAAGACCTCACTCGAAGCTGAGGCAACGCAATAGACTACAACCGCTACTATGAATGATAGAGAATACTTTGATTCTAGATTTCGTATTTCATCTACTTTTGGGGGGATGGTGAACTTGCCACTCAAGGTGCAAGTGTGCAAACCACCGGTAGATTAGTCAATGTCTTCTGCTCTGCGTAGACTACTTCCAAAGGTCCAGTTTTGGGTTCACAGGGTTACCTTGACCTGTTTTATCAACCAGCGACAAGCGACGACCGTAGCCGTCTCCTCAAGACCCGTTTCAGGCTGGGCTGTGTATGCATGCCGCTCGGCGTGGTGGGTGTGTGCTGGTGGCTGGCATGGCTTTGGTGGTAGCAGTACAGTACAGTCGTATGGTGACAGCTACCTTGCTAGAGTCATCCCTATGTCCCACCGCGTTTGCTGTTCTCACCTTGTCTTCGGCTTGACATGCGTCCTTTGGAAGTTTGTACTGGAACTTCCGTGGCAAACTGTGAAGTTACGACCAAGCTGAAAGTCTAAGATAGTCTCTGCGCTGAAATAATACCCCACCTCTGGAGAGCCGAGCGACGAAAGTTTCAACAATTTGATTTTGGTAACTACAGTACCGGTACTACTAGCTAGCTACTAGCTAGCAGTCCATGCAGCACCGGTACTGGCTGCTAGTACTATTAATACCGTACTACAGAATTGAGCTTCATTCTGCTACTACTGATAGTAGCAAACAATGCTCGCTTTACAGTGTATGGCCTTTCTGGAAGCAGGTGGTTCCACTCTCATCTCCTCCCGAGTGCTACAACACTGTCTGCTGTTACCATTATTACCAAACACTTTGGATCTGGGCAGCTATCTGGAGTCTGGAGTCCTAAACGTTTGTGGCTTTACTGGCTATCGGTAACTAGCTAGAACCGGTATTACTATTGTGCTGTAGCTTTCTCACCAGTCATCAGCTACTGTACAATACTAGACTAGTGTTAAAGTGGGAGACTAGCTAGTCTAGCTAGAGTACGGTAAAGGTCGGTACTACTAGCTTGACTCTAGAGATCTAGTCCCTTTCTAAAAAGGACTCCAAAGCTAGCTATTTTCCGACAGTAGTGAATGGGGTATTTTTGCCAGCGCTATTAGACCATCTCTGATGACCACTATTTCTCCCGGCCAGCCACTTGGACGGCCAGCTTCTGCGCAAGCAAAACGCCCTCAAAAGCCAAGGAAGCAAAACAAAGCTTCTTGCCAAAACAACAGAATTCAGCAGCAACCCAAAAGTCAAAGAACAGCGAGAGAAACAAACAACGCTACTTTATTGGAGGTATCCTTCCCACTACCACCATGACCTCCCTCGGGCTTGATCTCGGAGTTGGTGTTGGCAACATCCCTTCCAACGCGGCCGCAGTGGTCTTTGGCAACTCCGCTCTGGCCATGAATGGCGATGAGTATGTCCGCTGTTTGACCTGCGGATATGGAGGCTGCGATATTCGAGTCTCGGGATGTGGCTGCACACTGCACGCGGTACGTCGCAATTGATAGGACTTATTAGGATCGATCTTGGCGCGTGGATTGTGATGAATTGGATTGGTGTTGTTTGTTGTGTGGCTGGTTGCAGCGGTCCTTTTTGTTGTGACTGGCTCTTGGGTACTTGCTAGAGTAGCGGTTTGACGAAAGCGAATCTGATGGGTCCTTGTTGAATTTCCATTGGAGGGTTTTATCGGCTTCTGTCTTCTTCGTGTTGATGATGGATGAACTCACTGCAATATGCAAGAGAAATACAGTTTGTCTTTCTTTGTTTTTAAACCTGACACTCTCTTTGGTTTTGATTCACAGCGCTGTCTTCGCTTGAAGCCTGGTGGCCCCATGACGGCTTGCCCTCACTGTAACAAGCCCAGTTCAGGACTGGTCCTCTTTCCCATGTCCTTTCGAGAGATTGATGAGGCGAAGAAGACATCGAACGCTCTCCAGAATGGTCAGCGTAATCGAGGAAGGAAGCGCAAATCCGAAGGCCCCACTGGACTCGAAGAAAAGGGAGGCTACGTGTCGGAACGTCGTACCGGTCGTTGGACCGTCGAGGAGATGACTTACTGCGACAAACTCATTGAGAAATTCGAGTCTGGAGAGATGCCAATTGTTAACGGTATCAAGCTCAACGAGTTTCTCGGGAACATGCTCAAGTCAAAGCAATCTCGTCTCACCAAAAAGATGAAGAATGCCAAGCTCAGTACCAAAACATTCCAACGCACGATCGGCTATCTCCACGATGTCAACGAAGCACGCGAGTTCTCGGAACTGGAAGAGTCCTTCTACAACGCCATTCAGGACCTACAGGAACGTGCGGAAATTAAATTCCACATGCAACGAGAATGGAGAGAGCAATTCAGCCAGTTTTGTGTTTCTATTGGCCAGCCTCTCGATGCCGATGGATGGCTCAGCAGTGTGGAGGAAATGGATAGGAGGGCCTCTTCGGCGCAGAATGCTGCCAGGATGACGCGTCGTAAGATGATGATGGGCTTTGCTCTTCGCACCGATTGCCGAAACCCTGACCAGGGAGTTTTCATTGAGAAAACGGAGGACGAACAGATTGTCGCTGAACACACTTGTGCTGATGGAGACCAGAGCAAGGAAGCCGACATTATGATGAATTTCCTCAGCGAGCGCAAGGCCGAAAGTCTGGCCATGGACATGAATGGCAAGAGTAGCTTGCTGCACTCGGCGCCTTTTTTGGCCAAAACCATTTCCTACTTGCAGAGGCACAACGTTCCATTTGAGCATGTCGACCTCTGGGTGCCATCCTTTGTTCCTACAAGTGGCATGGAGCTGCAGTCTGGTGAAGCCTGCAGGCTTTGCTATGCCGGTAGTGCTACTGTTGACAAGCAAGTCGACCAGGACGGCAAGAACACGCGAAGCCTCACGTCCGAGGAACAGTTCAATCTCTTTGCCTTTGGGGACTACAGCCAAAAGTTCTCCTTTGATGTTGGTTGTGGTTTGCCTGGCCGTGTTTATGAGAGTGGTCGCCCCACTTGGGAGCAGAGTGTGCACAACGCACCTCATAACCACTTTGAGCGTTGTGGCGGGGCTCTCCAGTGGGGAATCAAGACAGTCCTTGGGATTCCAATTGCAAGTCCCAATGTTGGTCGTATTGTGGTGACACTGTACTCATGTCACGATCGCCCAAAGGATCAAGAGCTGGTAGCCCGTCTTATGGATGAATTCACGAGGGTAAGATTGCTGAAAACGGCGACATTCCGGTGGCTATGTCATGCCAATGTTTTTCTCACCATTTGCTTCTATCGTACAGCTCTTGCCTTCACCAAAGTGGAAGCTCGTTGTCGATATTGGCGAACCCGAAGAATCCCCCGCAGTGTCAGCTGCGGCGTCCACTGTTGCTGCTGATACGAATTCTGCGGGCATGTCAAACGAGGCGAACGATGGTTTCATACCCAACAACAACACCGCGCCAGTTCCGGCGGGTGGCAAAGACGCCCGCATTGACGACGTTGTCTCTCTTCTCGGAGAGTACATGCCTTCGGACCCGTCTTCTACCATGGCCCCCTACTTGTCGGGGTTCATGTCTCTGCGCTTGCTTTTCTTGCGTCCCTCGCGCACGGCAGAAGAGGAGGAGCTGGCCCGTACTATGCTTGATTCCTACTCTTCCTATTCGGCTGGCGGACGTTCTCGCAGCGATATTGCCGTGATGTTGGCTCGTGACTTTATGTTTTTGAGTCAACAGCAACAACAGCAGGTAGCACCACCTGCCCCGCAGCAGGTTACTCAGCAAAACGGGTATTTAGGTATCGCGCAGCAGCAACAACAGCAGCCCCAAATGAACGCTCCTGCTCCGTCAGGTATGTCGCTTTTTGGCCTGCCGTCCACCACCAGGAGCATTCAGAACTCCCCGGCTCTCACCCCAATTCCAATGCCAGGGACAACTGATTCTTTATCCATCGTATCGAACTAGGTTGATCACGAATGCTCTTCAAGCTGGAGGTGGACGGCTTTTTTCACAATTTTGGAACACTTTTTGCCGATCATGCATGCCGTGGGGGTGACCATTTTTAAACAATTTTCCGTATATGGTTGGTTTTTTGCATCAATATATCACTAATTTGAAGTCTCGCTAGGCGTAAGAAGTTAAATGCAGACTCTAAACAAAATCTTTTTAAGTTCATGTGTGACTTTCAAACAGGATTACTCTAGTGGGCCCCAACTCATACCAGCAGGATGCCAAAGGCTTAGTTTAGGCACTGGGCTGACCAGGCAGCTGGTGCTGCTGTTGAATCTGTTGGACGTCAAATGCTTGGTGCTGGTGATACGACAACTGCAACATTTGGTGCTGAGGAGGGGATGTAAGATTCGCGAGGCCTTGCAGCCCGATCTGTTGCTGCTGAAGTTGGTTTGGGTTTGGCTGTTGAGTCACATTTGCGGCCATCAATAAGCTGCTCATGGGGTGACTGTTGTTCTCAACCGTGGGTACAGAGGCCGCAAACTGTTGGAGCGACAGGCGACGTTGAGCCTCTTGCTGTGACTGTTGTGGTGGTTGATGATGTAGATGCTGGTGCTGTTGTGGTGGTTGTTGTGGTGGTTGTTGTAGATGCTGGTGCTGTTGTGGTGGTGGTTGTGCCTGCTGGTGCTGTTGTGGCGGCTGATGATGGTGTTGTACCTGCGGTTGATGCTGACCTTGTTGCTGAGAAAGCACCATGTAGTCTCTTGCCACCATCCAGGCAATGTCTGAGGGGGCCTTGCCGGACCTGCTGTATGACGAAAAGCTCTCCAGGAGAGTTTGTGCGAACTCCTCTTCGCGCTGTGTCCGAACATGCTTCTCAAGCAAAAGACGAAGCGAAGTAAACCCGGGCAGGAAGCTGGCCATTGGCGAGTTTTTGTTGGCCGGTGTGTAAGTACGAATCAAAAGCAGCAGCTCCCCGGCCCGGTTGCCAGCTTGCCCTGCTGCTGTTGGTGCCAGAGTGGCAGCTGCTGATGCCGGCGTAGGAACACCAACGTCCACGACAAGTTTCCATTTTGGCGTGGGCATCAACTGCAATAAATCGAGCCATGCCAAAGAGTTAGAATACGCTTGTAGTCAGCCATCAGTCGCCAACACTCATGTCAGCGCTCACCTTGGAGAGTGCAGAAGATATGCGGTTCACCGTATCCTGATCTCGATTTCTGTCGTGTTGGCTATACAGGAGAACGACAACGCGGCCTACATTGGGGGAGGGAACCGGAATCCCCTGGGAGATGCAGGAAGAGCGATATGTGAGCGGCATGCTGCCATAATAATGGCGTTGTGACATGCGTGACACTTTTCTTTGACTTGCCAGCACTGTTTGTATTTTCCATTGCGAGGCACCACCACACCTCTCAAAAAGTGTACTGGGGGCCTTTTGAATCCCTTGTTCCCATGAAGCCACTCCTGAACTGTACACTCTACCTGGCAGCCCGCACCCCAGATCAAAAGAAAACTTTTGAGAGTATTCCCCGAACGAAACCAAGTCGAAATGTTCTTCCGGAGAAAGTGGGACCGCTGATCCGCCTTCCGGTGGCATGATTTTGTCTGTGGTGGCTGAACCGGCAAAGCACAGTCGACACTTTTGCTCGCCGGTACTTGCGCCTGTATCTACTGCTCCAGGTTGCTGTGGCACGAACGACGGTACCCATGCATCGACGTGCTCAAAGGGTATGCTGTACCGCTCCAGAAACTCGGCAACTTTACTAACAAAAGGCGACGAAGAGAATGCTCTCCCCCCCCTAGCAGCCGCGTGCTTCTTTTTGCTCTTGATAGAGCATGGGTCGCTTCCCCCACAACCAGCACCAACGAGTGAATTGCCCAGAGGACTGGTAGAACAGCAATTGCTGTTTGTGGTGTCTGTGACTGCGCTGTGTTCGATAAAGACGCCTCTGTCTAGATTGTTAGAATCTTGCGACAGGGCGTATCCCATCATGACTTTTCGCCTTGCCATTCTCGCTGCATCCTTTGCCTCTGATGCTCTACGATCCATTTCTTCGACGCTGGATAGCCACGAATCCGCATCCAACTTTTGTCCAATAGCCACACAGTAACTAGAATAGAGCTCTCTCCTGTCAGAGTGAGTGCCCAGGTAAACATTAGATGTGAGCCACCAACAAATAGAAGTGCAACCCTGACGAAACAATTCTGCCTTACCACTCTTTCTGCATGTGAAACTTGATTTCTGACTTTTCCAAAGAACATGGAATCGAGTCAAAGAAGCCACTTTCAGCCTCTGAGAATAATCGGGCATCTTTGTCGTCTGCAATGAATCCGACCGTGCGCTTGTAGCATCGAGATGACAGCTTGGCATTCTTCATCTTCTTGGTGAGACGCGACTGTTTGGATTTAAGCATCCCGGCAAGAAAGTCATTCAATTTTATCCCGTCTACAATGGGAAGCTCTCCTGGAAACAAACAGATGTGAGCGGTATGCTGCTACCGTATCATGAGACACACGATTTCCTTCCCCATTGCCGTACCTGACTCAAATTTCGCAATGAGTTTGTCGCAGTACGCCGTCTCCTCGGTCGTCCAACGTCCTGTTCTAAGATCAGAGCTCTCTCCGCTGCCCTTGTCTTCCACAGATCCTCCATTGGCAGACGCCCCCGAAGCCAAAGCAGACGTTGGGTTGAGGCGGGCAATGGTTGCATTCTTACGCTTCTTGCCGCGCTTCTCACTGGGAGCTAGTTTTGCTGCAGCGGCTTTGGCTTCGTCGATCTCATAAAATGACATTGGCATCAACCAGATAGACCGAAACGGAGCCTTGCACACGGGACAAGCGGTTTGGGGATGGCGATCCGATATGGCAAGGCATCTGTTTCAAGGCATTCGTGGAGATGAGTAGAAAAGAAATCCAAGGCAAGACAAGATGCAAAAAGGCCAGTGTGAGGGACGTGACTAAAAAGAAGAATGAAGAATAGATGCGACCATATTCGATCAAGGAGACAAAAGAATCTTCTCTCGCTCTCGGAAGAACCCGTACTACAACAAAATCCAACTTGCCTCGTGTGGAAGCAGCAGCCGCAATCGAGCGTTTTCAAGTCGCATCCTCCCACTCCACAGCGTTTGCAGCAACAGCAGTCAAGCCCCTTTGGAGCCTGGTTGCAGGAGAGAGGAGGAACTTGGGATTGTTGCTGGAACGCCATCATTGTACACACAATAACACAGACATGCGAAGGCCGAAGGGCTTTTTGGGTGGAAACAATGGATGGCAGCACCGGGACGTTCTGCCGGAATTTCTTGGTCGCTACGGTGACTAAATTAATCACGTTTGTGTCGTCATCAAGTGATCGACGCGGTGTCCGAAGACACAAGGACAGCTGGCTCCTGTAAAGCAAGCGCCTGTTGTATGTACATGTAGCATTGTAATCCTAAAACATCTACATGTACTACTACCAGCTACCGGTAGCTAGCCCAGTAGCTCGATGCAAGTGAGTAGACTAACCTAGGCTACAGGGACAGCCTTGATCGATCAATCAATCCTAGCAAGCTAGCAACGTGTTCGATTGGTAGTGTCAGATTGATTCGAGGGCAGGGAACGCAATGATGATATTGGTACATTAAGTACAGCAACCATGGAGGCGCCTTCCTCGTCAATCTTCTCTACAGTAACCACATCAAGCTCCCGTATAGTTAGTAGAGCCACCACGAGAACCCAACAGAGGGTCAACCTCTGAAGGCTCAACTGGGGCGGAGGGTATTGGATTAGTTGCTCCCACGATCCTATGCGCACCGGCCTTCATCTGACGTGCTCTTCGCCTCCGTTGTCGCCGTCTTCGGCACTGCAATGACAGAGGCCAAGCGGCCAGCAAAGTGGCACAAAAGATAGCCACAACACCTAGTAAAATCGCTTTGTTATCTTGAACCATGCTTTCATTCACAAGGGAGAGGTCAAGCAGAGAAGCAGTGTAAGAAATTCAATTCGAATGTGCCGATGCAGCCAAGAGTCTCCAAGGAACTTACTCCACAATGGCATGGCAAGATTCCAAACCAAAACGAGCACATGGTGAAGAAGGCTGACTGGTGCTCAAAGGGTCTGAATCGGACCATGGTGAGTTGGGGGCGTGGTGATAGGGCGCCAGTCTGTGCCGATTTGTCAAGAGCACCCCGCCAAGGGCCACACTCGGGCTTTCAGCAATGCCGCAAACACCAAGAGTTCCCTTCAACCCATCGCCACGTTTGACGCGAATGTATCCATTCTCACCCCAGCCCTTCCCCCAGGAGTTTCGGGCAATCCAATACTTTACCACTTCTCCATCCTCGCCCCTTTCTTCGCCGTATCCAGTTACTAAGATGGCATGGTTAGCCCCTTGCCTGCAGTTCGGTTTGTTGAATATGCCTTCTTGGTATGCCAAGAAAGATCGATCGGCAGCGTTGACTCCCACTGCAATAGGACCAATGTACCTCAGGACAAGCTCCATATGATTTTCGTGATTCTGCAGACGGGAAAAAGAACTCTTTGTTGAATTGCATTGCATCGAATTGAATAACCATGTAATTCACTGACAAGAACCTCATCATACGGTACCTACCGGCGATACGACACCCCAAGCCTTGACCTTGGCAATAGGACGGCTGACCAACCGTTTGTAGCATTCGTCTTCGTGGCCCACGTAAGGGTACTGACTCCAGGTGGTAAGCCCAAATCGATAAATGAAATAAAACGACAGCAGTGGATTCCCTCCAACGCATCCCAGATCGGCAGCAGTATCGCAGTCGATGAGTTCCTGAATGGAAAGGTTTGCCATTTGAAACGCAGCTTCTTCGACACTTTGTGCAAATGTGAAAGCCTCCTCATGGAGTTTCTTCAATTGACTTTCATCATCTCTTCTCATCTCGACCCTTTCTAGAAACTCTTGGTAGGCTTCCCTGGCTTGCGTTCTCGAGACACTTGCCTCCAAACTCCCAGTGGCCGTAAATGCCCAGCAAGACCCGCACTCACCCTGATCAAAGGCATCCTTTACTATCTGCACTCCATCTGGATTGTCTTGCGTAGCCCAATTCAAGTACACGGAGAAGGCATCCGTGCTGTTGCTGTTGTCGTCCGCCCTCCTGTCTAAAAGCTCTTGTTCAATCTTGTTGCGAGGTTTTACTCTGATTAAATCTCCTTCCACAATGGGATCGTCGATTGTGGGTATTTCAAAAGGATGATGTCCCTCTACTCTCGTTGGAAACTTGAGCTTGTCGGTTGCCACATCCCGCGCATGAACCTTTGACTTTTTTCGTTTCTTTGGGTTCAAGTGATCCATTCCGCCATGGCCAACGGTCCAATTTGCAGCAATTTCCATGGGATCATCCGAGAAAAGAAGCTCCCTGGTTGTGGAATCCCACAAGCTTGTGGAATCTTGCATACTGTCATTATTATTATTTGGAAACAAGGGTATTGTTGTATCATCTTGGTCCGCGAACCGATTCAGTGCGATTCTATGCTGGTTGCTAGGATTGGAATTGTGCAAATCCACCTGTTGGACTGATTTGACAAATCTATGGAATCGATTCAAGTGATAGTGATGATCCAGCCCCGTCGTGGGACTACGACGAAAGTGCAATGCGTGTTCCTGGAAGAGTTGAGAGCACGGTTCATCATCATCATCTTTGGATGCAGATACCAATGTCATGGCGTCGGCTCTGTCGGCAGCGACTGCCGCTGCAAGCTCCGAACGAGCGCACAAAGACAAACGCTCCTCATCATAGTCAAACTTTATCTCGGACATGATGGATGTTGAGCTGATGGATTGTCTGCAGCAGGCTCAGCTCCAATGATGATACGGAAGCAATTAATTGTTAACACTGTGTTGGGTTCCAGTGAAACCCGATCTTCTTTCTTTTCGTCTTCTCAAAGTGGTCGTGAACGCAAAATTAATACAATAGCGTTAAGGATAAAAACTGGAAACAGGCGGTTAAAATCGCGAGGAAGCTTTTTTCATCCCCGCCGTTTCTTGTCTGATGGCGATGGAGAGGCTTTGTCAATGCCAAAGCAAGGAACAGACTGCAGTACAACACTGCTGCCGACAGGACGAGCATAGCCACAAGCGGTCGAAGGCCTAGCTAGCAACTAGAGTAAAGAATGGATGCGATATAAGCTACTAGACTAGCTAGAGGTGAATGGATCAAGAGGTGGCACAAGAACCATTAGCCCTGCATCCGATTGTCTTTCCTGAGGCAACTCGATCCACTGTCGCACACTGCCTCTTGCCAACAGCTGTGGCTTTGTTATCATCAACATCATCATCATGGAAGGATTATCCCAACAACGTGAATCCAGTGGGAGCCCTTCCAGGCTTTCACGGCGAAAGGATTCGTCTTGTTCACCACTGGGAAGAAAAATCCCACGCAGCCAGAGACTCTCTCATGAGAAACTCCAAGGCATTGCCATTGTGTCCAGTGACAGTGCGTGTAAGAACAACGATGATGGAAAGCCCGCTTCTCCAGTGGCGGGGGTCTCAGCAAGGAAAACAAGGAGAAGAATAAGCCACGATCAGAGCAATGTCAACGATAACAATTGCCCTGAATCAACAATCAACGGACCCATTACCACAACAACCGTACCTTCCTACAGACAGTCTCCTTCCAAATACAAGTACCACACTCCGACAAAGGCCAAAAAGAAAAAGCGAGGACGACTGCTGAGGCTAGTACAGGACGACGTCATTGATACTTTGACTATGCGAGACGTACTTTGCAAAGGCGTACAGGAACCGGCTGACATGGCTAGATGCGGCCCCACTGCCGATGATATCAGTACTGCCAGCACTTCGCGGTCGTCGGCTTCGGGAACCAATCCACAGCAATCCAGTGACTCGGCTTCCGTCATCACTACAATTGACTCGGACAAAGAACTAGAGCTAACTTCCAGACAGATTCGTTTAGAGTTGAGACAGGCAGAAATGCAAGAACTATTGGAAGAGGCCGAACGGGCTGCAGCATCAGGACAAAAGAGTTTCGCGGGGAGAACATCCACCTTTGGATATGACGACCCGGAACTAGAATTGCCGCCAGGAGGCTTCAAACCTAAATCAACACCAATCAGTCAACGGTTAGTACGACGATCGCTTAACTTTGGGTCGCCTCTGGGCCGAAGAATATTGCCAGACAACGCAAGCAATAAGATATCCGTCAAAGCCCTTCGAGACGTGGCAGAGGTGGTACCTACGTTCAAGGATTTTCACATGCATCTACGAACACATTTCTTGAGAAAGAATGTGAGCGAATCTTCTCTTTTCTTCAAAGAGATTGCCCCTTCCGATGACATCAACAAGGACACAACGGTTGAGAGCGAGTCGGCGCCTGGCGTGAGAACTCATGAAAACGAACAAACATCCATGCAACTGTGGAATTCGTTTGCGAGCCTATCGTCATGGCAGTTAGCAACTCTCAAGACGACAAACGAAAACGACGACGCTGAACTCAATAGTAGTCAGCAGCAGAAGCCTGCTGATAGCGTTACAGAAAGCCCGTCAACCAATCACCGTAGAGGCGACTCACCAAGCAGAGAGATGTTTGGAGACTTGCTGGCGCAGCACAGGCAGACGAACGGTCAACAGCATGGTGTGGACGTCCCTTCTGGCTTGGGGCTCCATGCAGCACTCAAACTGCAACGGGAAGGTAGTTCAAACAGGAACAACACAACGCATCGTAGAAGAGATACCAGTAACCATCAACCCGCTGGTGAGGTTCGTTCCTGTCCAACCACGCCGGAGCGTGGGCTTTCTGATCCAACCGTCGTAGATGCCGATCCAATACCGAGAGCATTTTCTGATTGTCATCAGGCGGTAGACCGCAACGATGATGTTCCCGGATCTCCAAGCTCCCCAATTCTACTGGATGATCTCGATATAACGGATGTGAGTTTCACGCCTAATAACCAGGAACAAAATCGAGTCTATGACGGACCCAGCCCACCGCCAGGGTTGCCCTTGACGCCAAAAGAAAATTTCCGAGAAGTGTTCAATGCCACCTTTACAACACCAGATGACGAGCGAGCTAGTAGAGGAGAACTCATTGCAGCGCACCCGGCAAACAGAAGCAATCTAGGACCCGATTTTGTCACTCCGATGCGACTTCGAGACATTCGCGACGAAAATCTCAGCGCTTGGCCCAGTGAAGCCTTCCTATCCGACACGCCCTTGGCACGTAGCGGTAAGCAACGTGCCGGGCAACCAGTTCGCGAAGGAACTGAAAGGGTGAGCATAAATGCCATCAATCTGCAGCATGTTGAGGATACTGGATTGCGATTGGAAAAGCACGGCTCGCCGTTCCTGTTGAATGGCATGTACGGCATGCACGGAACGAGTGACTCCGGCATTTTGGAAAACACACCATTTCGGAACGGGAATCCTGACGCATATGCACGAAACTTGATGCAGAGCCTGCAAGGCGATTCGCCCAGGAGGATGGATGATGCGAGAGAGGTTATTGACGTCGAAGTCTTAAGGAATGGTTGTGCCTCTGCTGAAGGCATGTATGATGATGCTGAAGGAAACGACAAATCTTGCCTTCCACCCCTTCGTACTACGTTGTTCCCCTTGTTGGATAATTCAGATAGGGGCGAAGCACGGCTCCCCCTCCGTTTGAACGATCCAACAGAGATCATATCGGTTGAAGAACACGAGCACCCATCAACGGGCCAAGTTGTTGTGTTGACCGAAATCGACAATGTAAAAACAAGCCCTTGTAACAATCAAGGATCAGTTGCCGGCGATTCCACAATGGCAAACCAATCGAAGGCTACGGCTGATTTCCCATGTGAATGCATCATTTCACCAGCCTCCTCCTTGGAGAGCGAGGCAGACGACAAGGGTGGAAGAACTGGTGGCTGGAACCTGCTTGAGCAAGCGTCAGGGGAATCAAAGCATCAGTCTTTGCAAGCTGCTGTCGCGATGTTCGCAAGGATATCCCCAAGTGGTCCACTCAACAACAGCAGCAACAGCGACAACGGCTTATTGTCGTCCAAGGAGAACGATGAGTTCATGAGCAACTACTTGTACTGCAGCAAGACTTCCGAACCCTCCGACCCTTCGCCTCCAACAAGCACTCCAATATGCTCTGGGGCGGTGCCCTGCCAAGAAACGAGAATGCCTTGTGGTGAAATAGCTATTGATTCTTGTGTCGATTCTTTTTTCGATGCTGCCCTTAAGTTCTTGCCCAAGAAATCACCTGAAGGGAGCAGGTTCCTGTCTTTAAGTCGTGACGACAATAATGTTGAGTCGAAGCGCAGTTCCTTCTCTTGGTATGATCTGGCTAATGAGAGATTTGACCTTTTGCTTGAGAGTATCATGGGAGGCGAGCACCGAAAAGGAGACCAATGCCGGCTTTCCTTTCAAGCACCGACGTTGAAGGAGAGGAAAGCGCCTCCATCGTCGGGTCTACAGTACGAGGATGTTTCCGGTGAATATGACGATGACCTGGGGGGAGTGATTTTTGTCCGTCCATCTACATCCACCTCCTCACCGCCTAGGGCAACTGAAGAGCAGAGACGATCGAGAAATCCTAAAGCTACTTAAAACAGTAATCCGTGAACGCAGGATCATTGATCGCGCTAATCTGTGTATGCATGGGTATAGTACATTCCATGCTACCATAGTATCGAGGCTTTACATTGTTGGGGATCCAAATTCTACACCCTCGCCTTTGCTCATCAAACAAGGAAAGGAGTGACAGTACATGAGTTTGAGGGACTCCACCATAAAACCCCCAAAAAGTCCGAAGGAACTTACCTGGAGGTGTCAAATCAAAGTCAGAGGGTTCAGTCCCCCAATTCTGGGAGAACGTCTTCTGCTTTCGTACCAGCACCTCAACAACGCCACTTCCATCCCGGGCAACAAGTATATCATTGTCCAAGTAGGTAACAAAAACCTCGCGGGAATACTGTGCAATCCCTGGCAAGTTCACATTCTGCTCCATCAGAGTGGCACTTTCGTATGTCTCCCTCAGTCGTTTGCCTGACTCCACTTCCAATCTAGCCTTGACAGCAATTCCAGCGTCCATCCCGCTTCCCACCTTGATGGGAATCTTCGCTTCTACACGTGGTTGATCTCTTGAGATGGTAACCTCAAGATCACCCACATCAAGCATCTCGGATGGGAGGGGCAAGTTCTGCAGCAACCCCAAGGCGAATACACCTGGCGAGTAGCCTCCACTGTACAAGAACAAAGCAATCTGCCTTGTCGGTGAAGGCAGAGCCCAATTATCGTCATAGCCACCCCAGTATCGAAGCTCCCAAACACCATTCAAGAGTGGGGAGAGAGTTGGGTCAGTGGTCGGGTTCACAGATTCCAGCTTGTAGATGGCCTCGTTGATTGCACTCCTATCCTCAGCGCTCACGGAACCAAGAGCCTTTGGCATCAAATCGATCACGTTGGAAACCAAGATCTCGTCAGCAGTAGGCTCATACACTTCGCCTTCCACTGTGAAGTAGTCGTCGCTAGATGAATCGGATGGTTCACTCCGAATGGGTATCTTGGAAGCAGCATTTCTCTTTTGCTGTCCTGGGAGCACCGAAAAGGCATTGACAGCCATCAAGCTTGCCAAGAGAAGGATTGCATTCTGAAGCTTCATTTCTAATATTTGTTGGCTCTTTTAATGAATAGAGCAGAGATCCGGAAGGCTATGGTTTCATCGTTGCATCAGTTATCTGTGATATCAGGGTGGATGGAAGAATGAGTCAGCAAAGTCAAAGAAAGATCGGGAGCATATCGTCCAATAGAACCATGGATTTAACATGAGTACCGGTGCAGACCACTGTCCTATTGCACGGCACTCGAATTTCGAATCACTCATGCAATATGGGATGATAACAAACTGCTGCGTACAGTACTGTGGTACCACTTTTGGTATGTTGTATGTTGTTAGACTACATAGCTTCAGCAATTGGAGGGCCAGTGAGAGTGCAAGTGCCAAGGACTCCAGCAAACTCACTACATGCTTGCTCATCACCAATCTCAACTCCTACATGCAATTCAATGAAAATCCTTTCTCTAATTAGTACAGTTTCATCATACACGAAGCCGTCACCTATCTTACTGTGCTATAGCGGAGTTGTTGTTGAAGATGTTAGGGCCTTGACCCAAAGACAGTTTCATGCCACTCTTGTCTTCAGTGCAAATTTTCTGCAGGAAGAAATCCAAGCAGTGCGGCAACTTGTTTGCTGCCCTTGTTCTCCATGTTGGGCCGCGGACACCTCTTTGAAGCAGATTGATTTTGTTTATAACTCGTGATGAAGCCCGTCAGGTAGCCTTCAGCGCATCTAACCTTGGGTATTGTACAGTACAGCTGTGGCGTCGGTGCGTCCGCTGGGCGCTATGCGACTAACCCGTCAAGCAGCGACCAAACCAGCAGGATAATGCTGAAATAGCATAGGATGTTGACACCCACCACAAACACTTTGAATGCCAACATGTTTCCGTGGCCAATGCCAGTGCCGGTCCAAGGGCATCTATGGACATTTTCCGAATTGGTTCATGACGTGAGATTCACAATCAGGCCTTCACAGACACATGCATGATCCATGTGAACTTACAAATGATCATAATCTTGTATTAAAACCTAACACGAGCGAGTCGAGTCATCCAAAAAGGTATGCGTGAGGAGATATTCCCTTTGGTTGAGTGACACTGGTCCAATATCACTCACCCCGCATTCGCGGCAATACAGAGCTCCAGGAGGCCTGAAGCTCCCAACTTGTTCATTCCAGAACCACCCTCCTTCTCCAGCTTCCTCGTCTGTGACTCTCTCCATTAATCCTGGATTTCTGCAGCTGACACAAAATAGCGCCATCATCACCATGGCAACGCAAGGAAAATATAGGTAGGCTATCCACGACGGCTGTAGAACGAATTGGAGGAACACGCAGAATATCAGCGGAGCATGAGTTTTTCGAGTAGATTGTTTTGTGTTTTGATTGTGCCGTCCATTACACCAGTTCTTCCAAATAATAATCAAAACCCACCCAGAACAACAAGCCATACTTATCGTGACTTACCAAACCAGAGTCCTCATTGAGGACTAAGAAATAAGAAACCAATGCGGATATACCCAGAATCAGAGGCACCGTGACCAGAAGACAAAATGGCCAACAAGGCCCAGCCACAACGATCGGTGATCCATCTGCGTACTCCAGTAGAATAAACATGTTGCCAACCCGTCTTGCACAACAGCAAAAGTAGCTATGCATGTCGCTCGGTTGGCCGCGACTCGCCACCTCTTGTTCCCATCGTGTCGATACAGCGAATCTAAGAAATAGAACAGAACAAATGCGTGAGATACTCCAACCATAATAGAAAAAGACCGCTAGCTGGGTAATAGTATATACAGTAGAGAATCGTACTGTTTCTTTCGTCGTCTCGGTGGTTGCACGGCACTTGAATCACCACCATTCGGTGAAGCGGCCCCGGTGCTCTCTGTGTTCATGGCTCCGTTCTCTTCTTGTCTCGCTGACTCTGAAAGTTCAAAGCCAGTCTCTTTGGGTGAACTCATGTCTTGGCTGGGAGGCGGCATTGGCTTGGGTGTACGTCTACTAATCGAAGTGGGAGGGCTGATGTCCGTAGTAGGTCAACGGAGCGAACCCAGCGGAACGACGGTCGGAATGGTTTATAAACAGCAGCGCACTGTCAAGAAAATGCAATAATATTTTATCTTGAACAAGACTTGACTGATGCGCCCGCCAATATTTTCTAGCTAGATTGCTTGGGGCAGAACAGATCTGCGATGATGGCACTACTAGCTAGTACCAAGTACATGTACATGTACATGCGATAAGGCACTTCTGCTACGGCACCGGTATGGCATAGCCACTCCAGGCAGACTACAGGGTTGAGCTATTCTATTCTGTCTTTGGAAAGTCCTCGCCTTTGGCTAGCTAGAGCAGGCATCTGCGTAATGTAGCTGTGCATGTTCTACCATAGTTATCACACAATGCATAACTGAGAACACAAACTAAATAATTACACTACTAGTATGATCCTGTACAAGTAAACACAACCACTGCCCA